TGAATCAAGGCCAGCCTGAACTTCATAGGGAGTCCAACTCAAAAAATCCAAATAAATAAATAAATAGAAGCAAAAGTCAGGTGTGGTGGCAAAAACCTGTAATCTTGGCATTCAGGAGGCAGAAGGATCACCATGACGTCGAGGTCTGCCTAGGCTATTTGGTGAGTTCAAGGCTAGCCATAATTACTAAGCAAGACCCTGTCTCAAAACAAAACAAAACAAAATGAAAAAAACTAAAGCAAAACAAATAAAACAGCTATAAAAAAAACACCTGCATAGAATAGAGTGGAGGGAACTGAAGCAGTATGAGGAAAAAAAACTGGGCTGGGGTGGTAGAGAATTTAGCTAGTATGGATGTGGCCCTGAGCTCTATCTCCAGCACCAAAAAAGAAAAAAATGTTGCATAAATAATGCAGTTATTGTTTTAAGGAATATAATTTATCTCAATCACTGAATCACTGAAAATTTAGTGTTCCAGTTGAGATGTACTATAAATATAAGGCGCACCTTGAATTTCAAAGGCTTAATACAAGAAATAGTAAAACAGTTAATAACTTTTGTACAATTAAATATAAAATAAGAACTTGAGGGGCTGAGGATTTAGCTCAGTGGTATAAGCACCTGCCTGGCAAGCATGAGGTCATGAGTTTGATCCCCAGTACCAAAAAAAAAAAAAAAAAAAAAAAGAATTTGAGGCCTGGGAAAGTCACCCACTTAGTGGTTGGGGGCTTGCCTAGGATTTGGGAAGCTCTGGTTCAATCTTCAGCACTGAGAGAGAATGAGTTCTATTAGGTTAGACAGCAGTAATGTGAATATTAAGCTGTTTCTTTAATATTTTTATGTAACTACTGGAAAATTTTAAATTAAATATGTGGCTCACATTATATTTCTATTCTCAGTGGTGGTCTCAATATAGGACCTCCAAATGATACAGGGGAAATCAGTGGAACTCCCAACCAGCTCTGGATGTCCCATACACCCAGTTTGTGTTCCCTGAAGGCAAAGAATGAATTCTAAGGAACAACAGAGGAAAAATTATTGGGGAAAAGGAATGGGGAACAGTGATGGCTCCTGAGAGGGAGGAGGGGTCCTGAATGGGTTTCCAAGGCACCCATCTCTCAAAGGAAGTTTTATAGAGAAAAATCATGAGGCGGGTACAATGTGGGTCAAAACTATGATTAACCAAAGTTACAAGAATAGCCATACCTGCCTGGTGTGGGGACGCATGGTGGCTCATAATTCCAGCCCCTGGGAGGGTGAGAAGAAGAATCACTGTGAGTTAGAGGCCAGTCTGGGCTACAAACTGAATTCAAAGCCAGCCTGAGCTATATAGTGAAACCCTGTATGAAAAAGGCAAAAAAAAAAAAAAAAAAAAGTGTGTCTCTTAGGTAATATTGATCCAATGGGGAAGCAAGTCACATAGCAAGTGTACATGGATGACATCTTAACTCTGATTGGTAATCTGAAATCTTAGTTTTCTCTTTAGTTTTAGTTTTAGTCTTCTTCTAAGTGGGTAGTAGAGGATGGCTCATCCCACCCCACCCCATTGAGATAATGGTTTATTTATATAGGAAGCTTCAAAAAGGTGGTACCAATAATCTCAGACTTGTCTTTTTCTCTTAGGGACATCTCTTAGATATTAATCTGACCACTGGAATTTTGTGAGCATTTTTTTTTTTTTTTGTCTTTTTCCTTTTTTATCGGTACCGGGGATCGAACTCACGACTGCCTGCTTTCAAGGCAGGCGCTTATGCCGCTGAGCTAAACCCCTAGCCCCTGACCACTGGAATTTTAATCTTCAGATGCATAGTTTTGGTGTGTTCATCTTCTGCATCTCCCTTGAGGACCTAGCCTTGTCTGACTGCTATATTTCTACTTAACTTAGCTGTCTATAACAATCTCAGCTTTATTCAATAATTACTGAAACATTTGAGTAGAAGATTGATATGCTTAGGAAAAAATTGGGGAAGCCTGAGGATTTAGCTCTGCGCATAAACACCTGCCTCGAAAGCATGAGGTTTGGAGTTTGATCCCTAGTACTGGTAAAAAAAGAAAGGAAAAAAAAATTTTTTTTAAACATAGGGTCTCACTATGTAGTTCAAGTTGGCTTTGAATGACATAGTCCAGGCTGACCTCGAGCACTGGTATTACAGGTATGTGCCACCCCACAAAGCATAGAATTTTTTTTTTCTTTTTTCTGGTACCGGGGATCGAACTCACGACCTCCTGCTTGCAAGGCAGGTGCTTATGCCACTGAGCTAAATCCCCAGCCCCAAGCATAGAACATTTTTTTATAGAGTCTCACTATGTAGCCCAGATTGGCCTCCACTCATGGTAATCTTCCTGCCTCAGCCTTCAGAGTACTGGCATTACAGGCACGTGCCACCATTAATTTAATGCAATACATCTAACCTGCTTTGGGGTGGATACATCTTTTTTTTTTTTTTTTTTGGTACCAGGGATCGAACTCATGACCTTACCCTTACCAGGCAGGTGCTTACGCCCTGAGCTAAATCCCCGGCCCATGGATGGATAAATTTTAATGAAGAGACTGAAGGATGATCCAAGAAGATGACAAGGACCTCACAGCTGGATTTAGATTCTTTAGGATCACTGGGTTTAATGAATAGTCGAAACTCAGTGTAGACAGGAAAATCCACATTTCTCACATTCTTCTTTCTTCATCTTGGGGCTTACTTTGTGCAGTGTTTTCAGATTCCCAGGGAACTCTGCCTGCACTTAATTGGATAAACAAAGACCTAAAACATAACATGCTGTGAGCCAAGATGCTCTTTAGGAAGAATATTACAATGCTAGCAAAGAGTAGAATTTACTTGGGAAGACGTCAGTTTTTTTAATTCCTTGAAGTTATTCACATTGTTCTCAGAAAGTTTTCCCCAGCTTTCTTCCAGCCTTTGAAACTTTGATTTTGGTATTATCTGACTTGGCAATCATTCTCCTCTCACTAAGCAGGTGCAAATATTCTACAGTGCAGACTTGTGAGCGCACTGGCCTTTGACACTGGAAGGTCTCAATCATTAGTCCCCTGCAGTCCCTTCCTCTCCACAGAGCTGATTAAAGCTTTCCCTGTTAAAATGCCCCCATGCTACTCTCTCCTCATTAGTTTCCAATGAAGAAAGGTCTCACAAGGACTCAGAGTATACAAGCCAGGCCAGGCCAGGGCAGGGCCTGTGAGGCGTCTAACCTTGCTGACCTCACTGCATGCTCACTGTATCTGCTTAGCTCCAGTGCCCTGACTTGGAATCTGGTGGGGCACTCTACTGAGCCCATGGAAGGCCGCAGACCCTCTGCACCTCCTGAGCAGAGGGTCCGTGGTTGCCCAGTGTGAATGTTGTCCACTGTGGACCTGTGCTGCGGGCCGGGGCTGGCCCTGAGCTGACTGCTGAGTGTTGGAGCTTCTTACAGCCCACGTGTGGGAGTCTTTGTTAGTGCACTCACACAGCTCACAGTGCAGTGGGTGTTCATCCTAACAGCCCTCCTTCACTGCGGCTGAAGTTTTCTCCTTTTAACTTTTTAGACAAGGTCTTGTTATGTATCCCAGGCTGAACTCCAATTCACAATCCTGCCTCAGACTCCCAACTGCTGGAATTACAGATGTGAGCCACTCTACCAGTTTAAACCAGTTTAACTTTTCTTATATTCTTTTTTGTCTTTTTTTGAGACAGGGTCTCGCTATGCAGTTAAGGCTGGTCTTGGGCTCACATTGTAGCCCAGGGTGGTCTTGAACTCACAACAATCCTCCCACCTCAGCCTCCTGAGTGCTGGGATTACAGGCATGAGCCACCACGTCCTGCTCATTTTAACTTTTCTAAAGATAACCTGCTCAGACTATAACAACCAGACTGGTGAGTCTTAGATCTAACCTCTTTATTATTTTGTTTTTTGTACTGGGGATCAAATTCTTGACCTTGTGCTTGCCAGGCAGGTGTTTACACCACTGAGCTAAATCCCTGGCCTGTTTTGCTTTTTGAAACAAGATCTCACTTAGTACTTGGGCTGTCTTTGAACTCTTGGCTATCCTGCCTCCGCCTCCTGAAATCTGGGACAACAGGTGGTTACTACCATAACTGGTTGAAAATATTCTACTTGTTACAGATTTCAGACGTTGGCTTGCTGAGCATGGTGGTGCAGGTCTCCAATCTTAGATGAATCAAGAGATCTTAAGTTCAAGGCCAGCCTTGGGTACACAAGCTGGACCACACAGTGAGAACTATATCCAGAAAGGATCTGGATTGTCCAGGTCTAGTGCTGTCTATGTGGATTCTGGGCCCCAACCAAAACCCAAAGGATCTGCCTTTCCCCTGGCTCCATCCTGAGCTGTTCTTCACAGCCCTGCAGGTCACAGAGTATCAGCAGCATGGCTACTGAGAGCTCCCCTTCTGCAGAGCCTGCGGTTCTCTCCCCTGTAGGAAGCTGTTTGACCAGGCCAGATTTCCCTGCTTGGCTCACCCTCATGCCTGAGCTGCTCTTCTTACCTTGCTGTGGTTATCCTTTATCCTCCTCCTGCTGCCTTGTTCTCGTTCCTTTGCTGTTCGTCTTGCTCAGCTATTTATCTCCCACTTTTCTTTCAAGAAACTATCTACAACCACTAGAATATTAACAAACCTTTCTATTTTTATGAGACTCAGTTGCCCTTTTTCATTTTAAAATTTTCTTGCTCACTTGCTCTGGTCTCGAACTTGCTATAGTTCTCCTTTCTCAGCCTCTGAGTGCTAGGGTTATAGGAACACACCACCATGTTCAGCTCCAAAGCGATTGTAGAGTAATTTAGACTATCGAGCAGATGCTAGAGCAAAAAGTAACATATTTGCCCTCCCTCCAGGCTTTTCTGGCAGCATTTTGTCTGTGAAACTAAGAGGTAGTTGGTTGCTGCTTTCACAAGAGGGAAGGATATGGAAGAGCTTAAAAAAAAAAAAAAAAAAAACCAAAGGGGCGGAGAGAGCGGCAGGATGTGGTTTGAAAGGGGGGAGGTGTGAGTGCCTGGAAGGCGAGGGGGCAAAGGGGCGGTGAGGATGCTGAAGTTCTGAGCCCAGAGGTCACGCTGAGAGGCAGGTATAGGGTGGGGCCGAGGGTGAGTTCCTAGGCTCCACCCTTTGCGGAGATTATAAAAGCCTGCGTTTCCCACCCCGTGAGGCTGAGGAGGACCGAGTGGTACCGAGGACCTCAGGGGACTTTCTGCCTGCCTGAAGAGGACATTTTGCAGGTTTTGTTGACTAAAAGAGGCTCTCACACCGACTCCTAGCTCTTGCCTAAGACTTGCAAAGGACTAGGACCATGGGGACGTACAAGGTAAGAACGATGCGGTCACTGGTATTTGCTGGTGCTTGGGGACACTCAGAAGGAAATCTTTACTTCTGTGTATTCCAGGGCCACCAGGCGGCCTCCTCCAGCCTGTGATGCTCCTGTGGGTCTCTCAGTGTCTGACCTGAAGGAATCATCCAAGTTTCCTTCCCTTCTCCTCAGAGGAAAGTCAGTGAGGAGTCCGCTCCTCAGGGTTATTTTGTGGAACAGCAGGATGCTCGGATGGGGCTGGTGCAGGCTCGGGCCGCAGGGGTCAGCTCCACTAGAGAGACCTGACTGAGGCCCAGGCTTGGCGTGGGAATAAGGTCGCAGCCCAGCCATCTGTCCTGTGGGAATCATCACCCTGACCTGTGCAAGTCCCCAAATCCTGAGGAAAGTGAATTTCACTTGTCCTTGTTGTGGTCGTGAGTGTGAGTGCAGAACATACTGATTAGTATCGTGTATTGTGTGTTGTGTGTGCAGTGTTTGTAGGGAGAAAGACATTTTTACTAAGATAAATTCATTTGAAAATAAAGGAAGTTAGGAGAAGGGATGAAGAAGAAAATGGGACAGAAGGAAAGGCCCACAGAGATGGAAAGTGCTGAGAGAGAGAAGGTTGTGTGGTTTGGGGATCTTTTTGTCTTTTGAGACAGGGTTTCACTATGTAGCTCAGGCTGGCCTTGACTCACAGTGATGCTCCTGCCTCAGCCTCTCTAGTGTTGTTGGGATTACAGGTGTGTGCCACCTTGCCCGGCTAGAAGAGGTTTTTTAATAAAGGAAAAGATCTAACGGGAAAGCTTCACCCAGGCAGGGTCCTTCCGGGGACTTGGGCTGAGCTGGGCCTGAGCTGGCTGGGAGGCCCCGGGAAGGTCACTCCCACTGTAGTGCCCACCTGCCTCCACCTGACCCAAGAGGATTGGGCAGAGTAGCAAACAGGGAAAGGCTGGGGGATCCTGGGGACCATGGAGCACCCTCTGAGGCCACCTTAGGGGGCAGCTGCTTGCCCTCCAGAGTGGCTGATTCCCAGCAAGGTGAGAGCCGGCTGCTTGACTCGGTTCCCTCCCCACAAGGTGTCTCCTCCTGTGCTGGAAGTGGATGAGGCTCCCTTGCTGGGGGTGGGGAGCAAAGGAGGACCCCAGGGAGGCCAGGCTCACTGTGGATGCAGCAGGGTCTGCGGTGCAGAAAAAAGAGCAGCCTGCTCCAGGGCCAGCACTGCTGCTTGGGCTCCTGTGTCTGTGGGGTTGGTGATCTTGTTGGGTCTACACTGGACAACAATCAGTTCTAAAGATCCAAAGACTGTCTTGTCCTCTGCCTTCCTAGCTCTTGAGCACCATACTTGCCTTTACCTGGTACTGTATGGAATTTTTTTTTTAATGTTTCTAAACTAGTTCCTATTTTAACTTCCACAAAATTTTCAAAATCTTATTTTTTTTTCATATCCCTCATGGGTCGGATTCGAGTACTGTACATGTTCATAACTAATGGAAGATAATCATCAGGGAAAAAGTTTCAACGACTAGCTGGGGACGTGGGGGGTGGGATGCAGTCCTGTAATTCCAGCACTGGGAGATGGAGACAAAGAATCCCTAATTCCAGCCCACAGGGCAATTTAGCAAAAATCTTGTCTCAAGATGCTGGGGGTGCCGCTCAGTGCAAAGGCCCTGGGTTCAGTCCCTAAGAGAGAGAGAGAAAATCGTAAATACTGCTTCTCTCCTCCCGTGTCATTCTACACTCAGGTGACCCCGTCTCTGGTCTTTGCCATCACCATCGCTGCAATCGGCTCTTTCCAGTTCGGCTACAACACTGGGGTCATCAATGCTCCCGAGATGGTGAGTATCGGGCGCTGAGAATTATAACTGGGAACGAGGAGTTGGAAAGCGAATTTAATGGGCGGGGGTGGCATTCCGTGGTGGAGGAGCATTTGCCTAGCACGCGGGAGATGCTGCGTTTAATCTCTAGCACTGTAGAAAAAATTAGAATGTAAAATTTTGTGTCTAGCCTGTCTAAGCTAAGACGGGCGGTGGTAAACACGTTGAGTCATTTACTGGAGCCAGAACACTCATTTCCCCTGCACCTCACCACGAGCAGGGCTGGCTCCTCTGAGCCTCTCCCGCTGGCTGGGCTTCCCACTGGTCCCTGGCTGTGAGGAGGCAGAGGGCCGGGCAGAGCACGCTCACCAGTGCTGCCACCTGCTGTCCACTTTCTGGGACAGGCCTTCTGCACTTTTCGCAGAGCTACCCCAGTCTGTGCTGCTCTCTTCCATCCCCATCTAGTCATGACAGGAGGAAATGATCCCTGCTCTCTGGTTCCTGTCCAGCTGTATCAGTCTGTCCTCTCACCAACCATTTTATTTTATATTATCTATTTATTTTTTTGGTACCGAGGATGGAACTCATGACCTCATGTTTGCCATGCCAACCATTTTGTATTGCAGATCATTACAGAGTTTATCAACAGCACCTTGTCCCAGAAGTTGGGTAACCCTCCCAGCAAGGAGCTGCTCACGACCCTCTGGTCCTTGTCTGTGGCTATATTCTCAGTGGGCGGAATGCTTGGCTCCTTTTCCGTTGGACTCTTTGTCAACCGCTTTGGCAGGTATGGGGCCCAAACTGGCCAAGAAAGTGGACAGTACTGGTGGCGCTGAGGACAAACACAGAGAATTAGGTCAGGGAGGTGGGGGCATCTGAGTGAGCAAAGGGGACCTGGTGCAGCTGGCCCTGGATGGGACTGCCCTGGCACAGATTCCACCACTGAGCTTGGGTTCTGCTTGGCCCTCAAGGGACAGCCCTTGGTGTAGCTCAGGCTGGTGCAGTGGTGATCCCAGAAACACACTTTATCTAGATGAACAGATTTATTTGCTTTTATTGAAAAAAAGAAGAATCATGAAAGTCTTTCACTGTTTTACAAAGAAAATATTTTTGTAAACCTTGGTTTGGGGTAAATGTGAACAATGAGCAAAAAGCTAAATTTATTCTCCTTAAAGAGAAGTCTCATTCAACACGTGAGGAATAAAATGTTTTAGATGACAGAATGCTTTCAGTAATGACTAAAGGGACTGTTTAATTTATCAGATATTCTCCACATGCAAATGTATTTAACATTAATAAAACAGACTTTTTAAGCAGACTGTATTTAATACTATAATTTTTATTTTTAATTTTATTTTTTTGTGCTGTTGATCAAACTCAGTCCTCAGGATTGCTAAGCAAGTGCTATTCTGCTGACCTCCACTCCCAGCCTCTGAAGTCATTAGAATTTTAAATGAGTTCCTTCATTAATAACTAACTTGGGAGGCTGAGGCAGGAGGATGTGAGTTCAAGGTTAGCCTGAGCTATATAATGAGTTCAAAGTTAGCCTTACATACTGAGTCTGTGTCTCAAATAAGAAAAAAAAAAAAAAAGAAAGAAAGAAAGAAAAGAAAAGCTAATTGTGGTGGTACACACTTGTAATCCCAGCACTGGGGAGGCTGAGGCAGGCAGATTGCCATGAGTATGAAAATCAGCCTGCACTATATAGTGAGACAGTGCCTCAAAACAAACAAAAAAACTATAATGTAGCATTCTTTGGTTCATTAGCAAAAGAACCTAATAGGGGTCACTGGGAAAGGAATGCAGAGGCAGGTGAAAATTGGGAAGGTGGGGTAATTCTCTTAATAGTGGTTCTCCATTGGCACTGCCCATTTAGGATCCCCTGGAGAGCTTTTAAATCCCAGTGCCCAATATAAGCACCCATCTCTTGGATGAGACCCATGCATCAGGTTTTGGCAAACTGCTCACGAATCCCATGGTCTGGGCAAGTGAGACTCAGGAAAGTTGTGATGCTGTTGCTTCACCAATGTGTACTGTAGGGTTTCAATTTTATTTATTTATTTTACTTACTTACTTACTTATAGATAGACTCTCCTTATGTAGCCCAGGCTGGCCTTAAATTCAGAGCAATCTCTCTGCCTCAGCTTCCTGAGTGCTGGAATTACAGCTGAGGGCCACACACCCAGCTTCAGTGTAATCTTTTATTGCTGGTTTATCATGGTGCAGTGCTTTGCCTCTGGGGCTTAGCACACAAATGGAGCAGTCTATTATTTTACACTGTTGTCAGTACTAATTGTGAATGACGTCATTACAGCTAGATAAGAGAGCTGAAGCTGACTGCTTTTGAGTATATATAATTCTGTGATGGAGGAAACATTTTATCTGAAATGTTTTAAAATCAGTACAATATTCACGCTCTCTAAGCAACTACAGTGCTTGAAATGCAGTAAAATGAAAATGCATAGAGGCTGGGGATTTAGCACATCTCCATTGTATTTATTTAGAGACAGGGTCACTATAAATTTCCTGAGTTGACTTCAAACTTGAAATGTTTCTGCCTCTGCCTGCAAAGTAGTTGGATTATAGGCCTGTGCCACCATGTCTGACCTCCAAAAATGTCTCTTAGGAGTGAGACAGCTTTCCCCAAGGTACTGTCTCAGCAGTGTTCTCAGACTTGAAGTTGTGTCAGACCGCCTGGAGTGTTTGAAGGATTTTTCTGTCCTTTTAAAATTTTTATGAGTGCATGTCGGCAGTGTATAATGATTACATTCATTGTGGGATTTGTACATAACACCTCTTAATTCCTGTGACTTCCACTCAGGACCTTTTAGAACACAGATTCCTGGGCCCTGGCCCTTGGGTGAGACCTAATGATGAAGCTAGGGGAGGGGAGAATTGTAATTTCTAGCAGATTACTAACTGCTGTGAGCGTGTGAGCCACTCTGAGGACCACTGGCCTGAAGTGCTTGCTAAAATACCAGGATAGTAGGGCTTGGTGGTAGGTGCCTGTCACCTCAGCAGCAAGGATGCTGAGGCAGCTGTGCTACGTAGTGAGTTCATGGCTGCCTGAGGCCTTGTGTGAAAAAAATCCTAGGCTACAGTTGGGTCTTGCAGAAGAAATCTCAAGCAACAGCTAGGTCAGTTGGTGAGATGCCTGCCAGCATGTGTAAGGTTCGGGGTTTGATCCCCAGCACCATCAAAAACAGATCTTAAATTTTCCTTTTTTTTTTTTTTTAAAGGTAGGAATATTTCTTAGGGAATAGGAGAAGCTCCTGAGAGACAGGTGGGGCCCAGAATGGGTTGCCCAGACCTTAAGTTTTCTAGGTGAGTTTGATACATAAAGAAGTGTAAAAAGATAACAAAAAACCTTGATTCAGCCTACACCAATTTGAAATGTTCTGATAGTAGAAACTGGGAAATAAAAGTTAAACAAAAGAAAGGCAGCTGTGGCCGGGAGGGGCAGGAGGGAAGGGAGAGCGGCCTGCTAGGCGCTTGGGCCTCAGTCGTCTCTGAATCTGCAGGCGCAACTCCATGCTCATGGTCAACGTGCTGGTGGTGGTCAGCGGCTGCCTCATGGGCTTCTGCAAGATGGCCAAGTCCGTGGAGATGCTGATCCTGGGCCGCTTGATCACGGGCATCTTCTGCGGGCTCTGCACGGGGTTCGTGCCCATGTACATCGGAGAGGTGTCTCCCACCAACCTGCGGGGTGCCTTTGGCGCCCTCCACCAGCTGGGCATCGTCATCGGGATCCTGGTGGCGCAGGTACCCGGGGGTTTCTCCCTATGCGAGTGTTCATTTCCTGCCCACTGAATGAATTCGCACACAGTGAGCTCAAGAAAAGATGAGACATATTCAGTGAAGTGTATTTCAAACAGTATGGTTCCTAGCACTCAATTCTAGCTAACAAAACCAGCAGGATAAAAAAGGAAAAGTAAAATTTTACATCTTTCTTTCTTTCTTTCTTTCTTTCTTTATGGTACTGGGGATTGAACTCAAGCTCGTGCTTGCCAGGCAGGCACTTGTGCCACTAAGCTATATTCCCAGCCCCAATTTTACCTTTTTCTATGGTAAAACAACTGACTGGGCCTGGTTCCATATTTCTGTAATCCCAGCACTCAGGAGGCTGAGGCAGGAGTTCAAGACCAGACTGAACTACATAGTAAGACCCCATCTCCAAAACATTCCAAAAAACAAAAAGAATGTGTCACTTAAAAAAAAAAAGTTTAGATTTATTGGCACATTTTACATGTACATGATGATCACATACATTATAGAGAACTTCTATTTGTACATGTTAAGTCTTGACTGCTTTTCCCTGTGCTCCTCACTCTCAACAAATCCCTATTTACAAAAGTTTTGTTTCCACATCTTTTCCTTTTTTCTCTTCCTTGCTTTCCCCCTCCCTTCTCCCTCCTTAGCTCCCTTCCCCGTTAAATGTTTTCTTCCTATTTTACAATATCTGTTGCGTATACTTTGATCTTTATTTATACTTCAGTTTGCTATACCAGAGAAACCATGTAATCTTACACATGTGTTTGACTTAATTTCACTTGTATTGTTTCGAGGTGCACTCATTTACCTAGAAATGTTTCAAATTTATCCTTTTTATGGCTGAATAGTTCTCCATTGTATTAAAGAACACATATTTATCCATGTATCGGTTGATGGGCATTTGGGCTGTTTGTAAGATTTTAGCTGTTACAAACTGTGCCTCTGTAAACATGAGTGTGCATATATTGCTGTGGTACGATGTTTTTAACTCTATTGGGATGATACCAGGAAGGGGAATAGCTGGGTCAAAGGGAACCTCCAGTTTCAGTTTTTTCAGTAATCTCCATAATACCAATTTCATATTGTTTATACAATTTTTAAGCCCACCAGCAGTGAAGAAGTGACCCTTTTTCACATAGCCCTGTCTGTGTTTGTTGTTGGTTGATTTCATGATGATAGAGATTCTTTCTGGAGTGAAATGGAATCTCAGCATAGCTTCAGGTTGCAGGTCTTGAATGACCACTGATGTTGAACATGTTTCCATATATTTATTTGCCATTTATATATCTTTGCTGAGAAGTGTGTATTCATCTGCGATGCCCATTTTTGGCTTGAGTCTTTAAAATTTAAACTTGGAGAGATGTCATTGTTTTTTATTTTGTTTTTTTAGTTTGTAGTTTGTATGTTCTGAATGATAGTCCTTTGTCTTAAATGGCTTTTTTAAAAAATGAACTTGTGGTTTAGGAAATATGGCCCTTGTGACATTGTCTTTATCTGGTTCCTAGATCTTTGGCCTGAAGTTCATCTTGGGGACTGAGGAGCACTGGCCTCTGCTACTGGCCTTCACCATCCTCCCAGCCATCTTGCAAAGCATAGCGCTTCCTTTCTGCCCAAAAAGTCCTAGATTCCTGCTCATTAACAGAAAGGAAGAGGAGAGTGCTACAAAGAGTGAGTGCCCTTTACTCTTTGCCCTAGGAATGGAGGTTTTGATTATTTCCTTCCTCCTGCCTAAGCCCCTGTGGGAAGGGGCGCTGAGGTGCTGGTGCCCTGTCCCTGGCCCTATGTGGCTCCTTCCCCAGTGCCGCATGAGCAGACCAACATGGGCTGCATGCTCTCTTTATTTTCTCCCCTTGGTTCTTCTCACCAGTTCTCCAGCGGCTGTGGGGCGCCCAGGATGTGTCCCAGGACATCCAGGAGATGAAGGACGAGAGTGTGCGGATGAGCCAGGAAAAGAAAGCCACCGTGCTGGAGCTCTTCAGATCCCACAAATACCAACAGCCCATCATGATCGCCATCATGCTGCAGCTCTCCCAGCAGCTCTCGGGCATCAATGCTGTGAGTGTCCACACTTGGGTCAGGCACCTGTGGTGTTTCGCCTGCGGCACTGGCCAGCCTCTGTAGAAGGCTGAGGCAGGTGACTTACTAGAGACTAGAAATTCAAGGTTGTCCTGGCTACACAGCAAGAGCCTATCTAAAAGAAAGTCCTAACCCTTCTTTGAGTGGGTAGAAGCTGTTTTATCAGAGTGTGGGAAGACAAAAAAAAAAAAAGATAGTTCTCAAAAGCATCTCATGTGATACGAATGGATCCCAATCAGCAGTTTGTTCATTCAAAAATGACTTGATATGCATCTTTTATGCTGCAGGAGTAAAGCATGCGCTGGGGATTGGAGGGCAGCAGGGCTGGAGCTACAGTGAGGTGCCAGGGTGCAGGCACAGCCGGGGAGGAGGGGGTTATTAAGGTGGCCCCATTTGTTCCCTGCAAACCTCATCAAAAAACTATCACAAGCTGGATGTTGGCGGCCTGCATTCCCAGCACTCTGGGGGCAGACACAGAAGAATCACAAGTTCCAGGCCAACCTGGGCAATTTAGTAAAACTCCATCTCAGAGTAAAAAGGGAATGTAACTCAGCATATCCAAACTCTTACCTGTGTAATCTTCTCTGTCCAACCACTGCCACCCTTTTGTACCAGCTACTGAACCCATGGCCTTTCCACTGATCGACTTCTGAGCTCTTTTTAAATTTTGACACAAAGTTGCATATATTTTTAAGCTTTAATCTTTAAGCTTCCTGGTCTGGGTTTTTGATCTTGTAATCCTCCTGCTTCAGCCTACCAGAATGCTGGGTTATAGATGTGTGCCATTGTGCCTGGCTAAATATTCATAATTCCTGTTTTAGGTACTGGGGATTGAGAGAGTTGTTTCCTGAGAACGTAAATGCCAATGTAGAGTACTACATAAATTGTGCTCCTTAGGAAGACAAAGAATGTTGCTATAGCAGCAAATACTGTGTGTGACAGAATTCCCTTGTTATCGTAAAGCCTGACTCCAGCATCCATACCTGTATCGTAAGGGTAGCAATCCTGCAAATAATAAGAATAAGGGTTGGCATGTAGCTGTGGTACAACCACAGATTCCAGGTCACAGCCCTGGGTTCCATCCCCAGCACGCCAAAAGACAAAACAAAACCAAAAAAGGCATATGCCAAATAATACTTTCTTGTTTAATTAATTTTATTGTTTTCTTCAAGTTCATTTTATTTCAAGGATAAAAACAAAAAGAAGGAAAAAAAAAAAAAGAAAACAAAAACTATAACAAAATTTCGAAACACATTAATTGGGGGGTAACAATGGTTCATTGCACATTGTCATCCCCAAATCATTCACCTAGAGCGCAAGACCTTTGCAGGGAATACTTTTGTGTTACGTCCTAAATCCCTTGGAAGGATCATAGGAAGAGGATATCCAGGCCAAGTTCTTTTTTTTTTTTTTTTTTTTCCGTTTTTATCGGTACCAGGGATCGAACTCACGACTGCCTGCTTGCAAGGCAGGCGCTTATGCCGCCGAGCTAAATCCCCAGCCCCCCAGCCCAAGTTCTTTTTGAATGAGCAGGCTTAGAGGTACATGGTGGCACTTGTCTGTGATCCCAACTCTTGGAGGCTGAGGCAGGAGGATTGTTTCAAATAAGGTCAAACTGGGCTTACATAGTGAAGCCAGCCTTGAACTACATAGCAAGACCCTATCTTTAAAAATGGTGGAGTGTACAAGGGGCTAAGGTTACTCATTACCCTATCAAATTGGGACATCAATATTCCTAGCAGTTTTAAAGGTATGGGAAACAGCCTGTGAAGAGTTTAAACCTTTCTGTAAATTAACAAAGTGGGTATAAGGAGGAGTAAACAGAGCAGTGAGGGAATGCATTGGAAGGAAGTAGAAATGAGTGGCTGGGATGGAAAATTAAGCAGATGCAGGTCAGAGGCAGAAGATAATTCATTTGCAGAAAGAATCATATGGAAACTCTAGAAAATAATTCAGCTCCTGAGATTGTTTGAGTTTCTTTTTTGAGCGTTCTGTGTAACTGTTCTATGTAGTCAGCACAGTTGCATCATTTGGTTCCTGTTAGGTGTTCTATTATTCAACTGGAATCTTTGAGGATGCAGGCGTCCAGGAGCCCATCTACGCCACCATTGGAGCGGGCGTGGTTAACACCATCTTCACTGTGGTTTCTGTAAGTTGCAAGGCAGGGTCCCGGGGTGGAGGAAAGGGTTCTCATTACAGATGTCAAAGGTTTGCTGATTAGCTTTCAGTCTCCTGACATCTTTATACAAAGCTTTTCTGTTTTCTTCATCTTTGGGGAAAACAATATTGCATGATGGGTACAAGGAGTCTTCGCCTCCTAGCAAACAAGGGTTGGCTACAGCAAGTTACAGAGGGCACAGGAGAGGGGCGCTGTGGCTGGAACAGACGCCCTGCTTTTCGTAAGGTAGGATTGAAGTCATGCACACAGGGATCTCATGAGTGGGACACAGCAGTGTCGTGTCATTGTCCTAGGTGTTTCTGGTGGACAGAGCGGGAAGGAGAAGTCTGCACCTGATCGGCCTCGGCGGCATGGCTGTTTGTTCCATCATCATGACAATCTCTCTGTTGCTGAAGGTGAGCACCTTGTGATTGACAGGGAGCTGGAAGGTAGTGTGGAGAGGTCAAAAGTGATAGGGCACAGGTGGCCGACTTTGGAGATCACTGAAAAAGTCATTTGATCCAGGTATTGTGGCACATGACAGGCTGAGGCAGGAGGCTTGCCATGAGTTTAAGGCCACCATGAAGTATATGGCAGGACCTTTTCTCAAACAAGAGAAAGGATGGACTTGAGGGAAGTCCCATTTTATAGATGATGAAATGTTCTCATGGAAAGTGATGTGTGTAAAATGACACAGCAAAATCTCAGGGTCTTGCCTAGGTCCCGAAGCTGCATGTGCTTGAGGCAGAGGGGGCCACCAAGTTATCTCCTTTCTCCCTTCCTCTTTCAGAGCTCATACGGATTCATGAGCTACATCTGCATTGTGGCTATCTTGATCTATGTGGCCTTCTTTGAGATCGGACCCGGCCCCATCCCCTGGTTCATCGTGGCCGAGCTCTTCAGCCAGGGACCCCGCCCAGCCGCCATGGCTGTGGCTGGTTGCTCTAACTGGACCTCCAACTTTTTGGTTGGACTGCTCTTCCCCTTGGCTGCAGTAAGTAAATGAAAATTCCACCAATACCAACATGTTTAAGATACAGCATTGTCATCTTTACTGAATCCATGAAAACCTGTTCCAGGTGCCTCTTTCTTAATCAGACTTTTTCTCAATTTCAGTGAAATACAGAAAAAATAAAGTAGATTGAAGCAAAAGGGCAAAACTGGGAACTTGGAAGGAATCACAAGTCTGGGCAGGGAATGGTTGTATATACCCATTATTGCAAGATCATAAATCTGACCAGCCTAGCAGCACAGACCCTGTCTCAAAAATAAGGCCCACTCATCTGAGATGAGGTGGTTTTGCCTAAAAAAGAACTGGAGCAATAAGCCTCAACCCCTCTAAATCAATGCTTCATCCACAGCCTCAATTAGCTAGATCCAAAAGGTAACGGGATGCTGGACATGGTAGTTCATGCCTATAACCCCAGCACTGGGAAGCTGAGGCAGGAAGATCATTGCAAGTTGGAAACTAGCCTGGGGTTACATATTATATTCAGGGCCACCCTGAACATAGCAAGCTTCTGTCTCAAAAAAGAAAAAAAATTGTCCAGATGTGATATTTGAGAATTTGATAATGGACTTTTAGAACTTACAGGCATGAGATTTTATAGAAACCAGATATTCAGTGTAGACCAGGATGGTAGGTGTTTAGTAAACAGGAAAGGCACAACACCGATTCCAGAGAAATGCAATAGGTATGCAATGGCAACAGAAATAAGCCTCAGAGAAGGCTTCTCATTCAGGTTGGGGCTGCTTGTAGCTTGAGACCTCTAGAGACACTGGTGTGGAGTTGCATAATTAATATCAACTTCCCTTTTATCTTTCACCAGGCCGCTTTAGGAGCCTACGTTTTTATCATCTTCGCTGTCTTCCTAATTATCTTCCTGCTGTTCACCTTCTTCAAAGTCCCTGAGACCCGAGGCAGGACTTTTGAGGAAATCACGCGGGCCTTTGAAGGGCATGCTGATGATGCCCAGGAACCTGGGAAGAGCTCAGCCCTGGAGCTGAACAGCCTGCAGCCCGAAAAGGAGCCAGTTGCAGGTGTCTAGGCACCTCTGAGTGGACCGCGGACAGCGACCTCCCACCTGGCAGAGCCCTCAGAGGTGAAAGCCAGGACTGAGTGTTACCCTGCTGCCGCCCGCCCGTCTGTCTCACTCTCAGCAAGCTCTCAGCTCGGCCAGTGCCTGGGCTTCTTGAGTGCTTCACTTCTTGGACCTTCCCTGTGGGAGTAGCCAGGTGACCACACCTCGCTTCGGGCCACGCAGCCCCTCTTCTGCCCTGAGCACCAGCTCCGCTCTGGCACAAGGGAGAGATCTGCATGGACTCCTCACCTCACAGCTCGTGCAGCAAAGTCCACTTGAGTTGTATTTATTTTATCCTCTGGTTTTATTGCATAAATATTTATTTTTTTAAGTGAAAATTTTACCAAGTAGTGAAGACCTAATGAAATGGAGGTGAGAAGGAGGTTTAACAAAAGGTTACATAGGAAAAGCAGGTTTGATAGCAGAGTGGTTAAGGTGCGGGAAGCCATCGTACTACTTGACATCTGGACTTGTTACTAAGATGGGCTGTGTAACTAAAGGCACTGATGGGTTTTGATTTCAGGTGGAGTCCAAAGGGAGGTTGTTCGTGGAAAGCCATCCTCCCCCACGGTAGACTCACTTGTTGTGTAGACCTCACACCACACCCCCTCGGGGAACCTTCCCTTGAGAACCAAAAATACTGGTTCTCAGTAGAGTTTTGGTGTTTCTTCACTTAAAGATATTTTATCTATTTTTTATTTTAACTTGTAGCTTTAATGGAATTCAGAGGAGAATCCTCATGGGTAATTTGGAATTTTTGACCTCAGCTCTGGAAAAGGATTTTTCCTGAGCAGTCACTCTGTGCTTTTAAGTGTGCTGTCACTGCAGGGTCAGGGCTTGCTGGTCCACATCTGATGCTAGGTCAGGGTGCGCTGCTACCACGTTACTGTGACACCCATTAGGTGCCCTCAGGGACCCAGATCCTCCAGTGGACACAGTTGAGACAGTGGGAGTAAATGACACTGGAGACTGGGAGTGTGTGCACCGTCACTTTGCTCGGGTGGAAGTAGTCCACAGCCCACTCACTTCTTGTGTTGCTATTGCTGCCTTTTGGGTAGAATGTATTAAAGCCTGTCCCTGCATGTAGAAGCAACACTGCTTCTGCTGGGTGGCATTTGCTCCCAGAACTTCTGATTCAGACTCATCTGCTGTCATTCCCTGCGGAAGGGAGGGAAGGACAGCCACCTCTCTGCCTCCACAGGCCGAGGTGGAGGGGAAGGGAAGAGGAGAGCTCGGGGCCACCCAGGTGGTTCTGGGGGGCTGTGGGGAGAGGAGGTGGTAAACTTTCAGGGGAACAAGAAGCAAATGAAGACTGGCTTCCAGTTGGAGGGGTTCAGATAGCCAAGGGACAGTGGGTTTGACTGCTGCCACGGGCCACCACGTCTCCACAGTCCCCTCATCCCCCAGCCCTCTCACCCCTCTCCTCCTGCTCACAGGTTACCCTGTCTCCTTCCCCTCCTTGGTGCTCACACATTTCAGACCCTCTGGGCAGACAATGGTGTTCTAGTTCTTGGTTCCCACTGGTCCACTGTTCAGGGACCTTTGGATAAACACTGTAGCTAGGGAGAGAGGCTTGGTTGGAAAAGGCCACTTTCCTCAAGCTGCACCTCTTCTGCCTCTGCAGTGGCTTTGCGGTAATGCAGGTTAGAGTTGTTCCGATTTCTGGGCAACCAGGTTGTAAATATTTCCACATGGATTTTCTACTATTAATGTTACTGTGGTTTTGTTTTGAAATAAAAGTTCTAAATGTATCCATCATGGGCTTATTATTTTTGCTCTTCCTATAACAACATAATCATCTTTGATCCTGGCTACATCAATGATGTGACTAAACAATGTTTTAAAAGTCTCATATGTGAAAACAGCAATGCTTGCTCATTATGTAAGCTAAATGAAAAGGTCTTCTGTCTTACTTTCTTATAGCTGAGACAATATGCTGGATGCCCAAAGATAAAAGGAGAAAGATTTATACAGCTCTGTTGTAGTCCACAGTTAGCTGGATCAAAGGCAGAGGGCATCACAAAGGAGAAACGGCTAGGAAACGGTAGGAAAAAGCGAAATAGCAAGGTTTGGCTCCTTTTGTATCTTATCCAAGCTATACAGGGCAGGTAGCAATGATCTCCTTAACCGTAGTGGCCCTGATCCGAGCATTGCACCATGAATTGAACACTGCATCACACTCTAAATCCAATCACTTGTGAAAAATAACCACCTAGGACTGCATAAGGCGTTTGTGGAGGTAAACCACAACGCCTGCAGCCTGAGTGATGCCATTTTGCAGCACATGCCATGACCATTTCGGGGTTTGGGGCTTTGCTGTCATTGGACCAGTGGTGGCTTCTGATCTGGAAAGCCCATGTCAGGGCTTCTGTCTGCACTATTGTTGGTAGCCCCTGTGTGGTAACCACTTTCCCCTGGGTCAGACACCCCAGCAGCCAGTGCTGCTCCCCTAGTTCATCTCCTCAGGGTCACTGTGCTGTGTCCCTGGACTCCGTCTTCCTTTCTCCTGCCTGAGCCAGGAGCTGGGGAGACAGTGCAGAGCGCCCTCTCCTTTGTCTTCACTGGAGTCCATTTCTTCACATTCTCCGTGGGCTCCAGTTTGCCCTTCAGATCCTTCCTGGCTCCCAGGGATCCCCCTTCCTACTTCTCTCTTCTTGTTGTTGTTCTCCAGTGTTGGATTCTGACTCTCCAAAGGTTGCTCTGTCGCTGCTCACAGCTCTGCCATCCTCTCCAGACCACTTTTAGTGTTTATTTTGAGACATAGTCTCACTATATTCCCCAGGCAGGCAAGACTGTGATCCTCCTCCCTCATGCTGTCAAGCACTTAGATTACAGGGCCAAATAGCTTCGTTGATATTCTTTGAATTGAACTTGGAATCAAAGTGTGGCTTCCGTGTTTGGGTGGCACCCAGACAGCTACTTAAATGCCACTTATGTCACATAGTATCCTAAGAGTGAATGCAACTGACCATGCACTTGCTTTTGTGGGTTCATATTCTATGCAGGTTAACTAAGCCCTAACTCACAAGATAAACTTCAAAGCAGAATATTCCAAGTACAAGGAGACAAATGTGATGACAGCTGTAGTGAGCTTAATGTATAAGCGAGCTCCAAAGACCGTAGTGCTGGGTCCTCACTACCAGCTAAAACAACAAAACAACTCCCCCTCAAAAAAACTTAAATCTTCACTCAGTGATAGAAGTATAAAATGTAAGTGATCTGAGAAACACTAAACCAGAGGAGGATCACCGGAGGAAACGCAAACTTGGACAGCGCAGCTCCTTCTCCCAAACAGACTGAGAGTTCTGCAGAGGGCACGGCTGCATGCAGGGAGCAGGGAAACTGTACTTAGGACAGAGCAGGCGTGCAGATCTGGGCAGCGCAGGGAGCTGCGCTGGTGTCCAGGGCTGAGACTGTGCAGAGCGGGTGGGCAGCCTGGAGTGAGGCCAGGCCAAGGCCCTCTGTCAGCAGCTAGTGAACCTGGTGATTTCCAGCCTGGCCTTGCCACTCAGAATCACCAACATCTTGACAGCCAGAAAGTGGTACCCACCTCTTCCCACAGCTCCACTGCTCAGACTGTACAGAAGCCAGCCCTTCACATTCCTGCCCCACCAACCCAACAGCAGGGGTCACAGTGAAAGCTCACCTGTTTCAAAATAAAAAGGTGTGAGGATGTAGTTCAGCGATAGAGTGATTCTGGGTTGGGTCCCCAGTAACACCAAAAGGAAACCTATAAACACCCAGACACCACTCACTGGTACACTTAACTAGCGTGGGCAAGGCCTAAGTTCAGTGTTGAAAAAGAAAAAGTAAGCAAGGCAATGCACAAGTATGATGTAATGAATTTTTGTTTTGTTTTCTTGTTTGTTTTGTCTTTTCAAAGAGTTTCACTCTTTGACACAGTTCAGGGTGTCCTTGAACTCACTTTGTAGCCCAGGTTGGCCTCAAACTCCCAGTGATCCTCCTACCTTGGTCTTTGAATGATAGAGTTACAGGTATACAACATCATGCTTGGCTAATTTATATAGAATATTACATTCTACATGTAGAAAGTGCATTTTAATTTCTAGAACACATGGAATATTTATACAATCAATTCTATGCGAAACCATAATCCCTAATACTAAATTCATCCATGAAGAACAGTCTGGGGGTGAGAATGGCACCCCGAAGCTCTGCTGGTGGTGAGGATGGGTCCAGTGCCCATGGAGACCACTTGCTGTGTGTGGAGACCCAGGCCCATGGAGAGCACTTCCTGCGTGTGTCCCTCGACAGGTACAGAGGACATGGTCCCCAGAGCCTCCAGAGTGATGGAGACGGAACTGTGGCTCCAGGAAAACCCACACCCTGGCTGTGCCATCTGTCCCCAGGACCCAAGCTGAGCTCTGTTCTCAGTGCTGCCCGGTAGGACAGATGGTGGTCTGGGGACCTAAGTCTGCAGACTGCTGAGAGCAGCCCGAGCTGCCCACGGAAAGGGAATGAAGCCAAGGCAGGCAGCAGTGGGGGATCCCCACTTTGGGCTGGTGTCTCAGGCCCAGGAGGTTGCAGCTGCTCAGGGCATAGTCTTGGTCCTTTGGTCCTAGTCTTGGTCCTTTGGTCCAGTCTTCTTGTTAGAGATCCAAGTTAAAATGACGGATGGTGACCCAAGCAAACTCAGAGGACAGCAAAACACAAGTGGAAAGTCAGCCTGGAGTCAGAGTCAGAGAAACAAAATGGAGTGGGTCAGGCCTTTGACAGGCTCCTCCAGCAGGGGCACTGCAAGCCATGAGACGCTATGGGCCCAGGAGAGGCAAAACCAGGGAGACACAAACCAGTCAGTCAGTCAAGGCAGCACCTGGGTACAGACGATGACTAGGGAAGTGCTAGTTGTCCTTCGCAAGGAGTTAGTGTTCCCCAAAGTCAAAGAACGGATTCTAAGGGAAAATGGAGGTGAAGAGTAGAACAATTTACTGGGAAAGGAGTGGGTAACAGGGATAGGTCCTGAGAGTCAGGAGGGGCCTGAGTGGGTTGCTTTAGCCCAATAAGGCTAACTTTAATAATAATGTGTTCTGTGATTTTTTTTAATAATGTAAGAAAATTTTGCTTCCCCTTAATTCATAAATATATTCTCCCATGTTTTTCTTCTATCAGCTCTATAATTCTAGTATTTAAACTTGAGCCTGTGATTCATCTCATTAATATCTGAGTGAGTATAGTAATAGGTATGTAGGTAATAGGTAATAGGTAGGGATTTAGGTTGTCTTTTTTCATAAGAATAAATATATATTTGAATGGCTGCACAACAAAGTGGTGTAACCACGTGGAAAATTGCACAGCCACTTTTTAAATGTATTTATTTTTTATTTTATGGAAAAAAGATAAAACATTTATAACAAAACAATAGAATTGTAGAGTAGCTGAAGCTGGAGATTGATCACGTGGAACTGTCCACTGTTAGGAGTTAGCAGTGTGGTAGACATGGAGGTTGTCATAGACATTGCTGTAGATTTCTTTTTTTGTCTTTTTCTTTTTTATCGGTACCAGGGATCGAACTCATGACTGCTTGCTTGCAAGGCAGGCGCTTATGCCACTGAGCTAAATCCCCAGCCCCTGACATTGCTGTAGATTTCTATAAACTTCATCTTTATCTATTTCTTTAATAGTTTTTTTTTGACACAAAATCTTGCTGTGTAGTCAAGGCTACTCTGTACTCACTCACTACTTTGGCCTCCAACTGGCAGTTGTCTTCCTGCTTCAGCCTCTCAGGTGCTGAAATTATAAAGAGTTTATCACTATTCCCAGCTCAATAACAATAATTTTTTTTTTTTTTGTACTAGGGATCGAACTCATGACCTCACAATGGCCAGGCAAGCACTTATGCTGTTGAGCCAAATCCCCAGCCATTCAATAATAATAATTACAAAATAAAAATCCTGGGGCCAGGAATTTAGCTCAGTGTCATAAGTGCTTGCCTGGCCAGCACGAGATCATAAGTTCAATCCTAGTACCAAAAAAAAAAAAAAAAAAAAAATCCTTAGAGACTCCTGGGTAGCTGAAAGGTAGAGCAACCATTTAGCATGCATGAGTCCTCTGTTTCATTCCTTAGCACTGAAAAACAAAACAAAACAAAATATATATATAATGAGAAGCACAAACTGGGTGTGGTGGCATGCCCCTATGAGCCCAGTACTCAGGAGGCTAAGACAAGAGGACTGCTGTGAGTTTGAGGCCTGCCTGGGCCACAAAATGAGTTCAAGACCATCCTAAACTGCATAGTAAAACCCTGTTTCAAAAAGAGAAAATAAAACAACCTAGTCTGAGCTACATAGCAAGATCCTGTCTCAAAAAGAAATAAAAAGAAAAACATTTAAAAAAATTTTAAAAATTAGTCATTTGTAGGAAAATTGATGCAATTTGAGATCATAATATTACGTAAAATAAATCAAACACACAAGTTTAACTATCCCATGGTTTCTCTTCTATAGAAAATCAGAGTATAAAGAAATTAAAAACTAATTAAAAGATACAAAATATAAGGTTTGACAACAGATCTTTTGTATCTGAGAAGAAGACCAAGAGATGAAAGAAGGAGGAGAGGAAGAGGAGCAGAGAAGGATCACATTTCCCTGTGATGAGTGTAATCATTATACACTACACACATGGACAGGACTAACAGAAATTAAAATAAAAAAAAAACACTAGATAAAATGCTTGACAGTTGTATTGTTGTAGAGACCACATGGAAGACACCCTGCACCCAGGAACTTGGAAG